AAATTTTTCTTCATATTTGTTATATGCAATTATTGTATCGAGATAATAATTATACGATATCTTTGTAATTCACGTAAAGATATTTACTGGGATATCCTGTAAATAACCATCGGGCCTTCGCGACGTATATCTCGTCTTAACGATTGATTCATTTAAAACCTTATCCATATCGTTGTTACAAATATCACGTCAAACCGGACTAAAAATTCTATATTATTTCTATATATAAAACAAAATGAATAGTCAGACAAACGATGTCGTTCGTTCTTAGACGTCAGTTTTGTTGATCCATTACAGGCGGCCCTCGACTTTCGCACTTTCTACTTTCGCACAATTCGCTATTCGCACCTTTTTAATCTTTTGCACTCCTATGTCAAGTGTGACTCGACATCGGTTTTTACCTCAAAAGATATAACTTTGAAAATTACAAAATATAAGAGTAATGAAAATAAAATGGACATTTTATTTAATTTATTTCTTCCTTTACAATATATTTAAATTTTCATATTTTTCAGTTAAAGTAAATTTTAAATAAAATATTTAAAAGCATTGGAAGCTGCAGGAAACCAAATTGAAATATAATTTAGAGTGCAAAGGTTAAACTGCCGACAATTAAACAATATTATAAAAATAATAATTTACAATTTAAAGCATTATGAATCTTAGACAATACTCCAGGACACCTAAAATCTCTGCAGAATTTATACTTGGAAATCAATGTTGTGTTTCTTTCCCCCAATGCTACCTGCCTCATACAGCCAATGGACCAAACAGTGATAGCTACGTTTAAACGATATTATATGAGGACAATAATAACTAAGGCCATCAAGGCAACTGACAGGTAAGATGGGTCAACATTAACAGATTTTTGGAAAAATTATAATATATGGAATACAATAAATAATATTGGAGACTCATGGGTTGAAATGAAAGAGCCAACAACGAAAGATTCCTGGAAACAATTATGCCCAGAAATGATGAGCGATTTTATAAATTTTGAAGAAACACCGGAAACTCTTTCAAATGAAATAGTTACCTTAATGAATGAACTAAACTTGAACGTCAAAAAAGAAGATGTTAATGAGTTGATTGAATCTCATTCAGCACTGCTGTCAAATGAATACTTAATTGAGCAACAATTGAGTAACAGTGAAATACACAATGAAAGTGAGGAAGAGAAAGCTGATAAAAACGTCACGACTTTGACAATTAAAAATATGAATGAAGCCTTCACGTATCTTGACAAATTTTTGACTATCATGGAAGAATGTGATCCCAATGGAGAACGTATATCTAAAGTACGTAGGGCAATTGAGAAAGACACATCATGTTATAGAAATCTTTATCAAGAAATGAAAAACATGGGTGGTATTCAACTAACTCTTGACAACTTTATAAAGGAAACACCCGAAAGCACTTAACACGCCTCTTTAACTTCATTATATATACATATTGATAGATAAATACTTTAAAACAAAAGTTTTTGGTGCATATTTTTTTACATTCCTTTACTTTCGAATATTCAACATTCGTACACACTTTCAGGAACCAATTATGTGCAAAAGTCGAGGGCCTGCTGTATTTCGATTCGATTATGTTTATCTTAGTTCATTCACCCGTAAAAAAACATACAACGCGCCGTTGCACCGTTCGTATTAGTTCGTTTTTCTTCGTACTCGTTCGTAGTACAAAGAACTACGAACGAATAGCCAATGAAAAAAGTGGGATGGAGCTTACTGATTTATTATTGGCTGATAGCCAATCGATGACGCCCAATTTAGTATTTTTGGAATGAGACGAATAATAAAAATGGAGTATTTACAAATAGACATCGACTTTGTACCTGCTTGATCGCATCCTCGTGAAATTGTGCGAGGAGCGTAGCATCAGCTGTGGAATCGATCAAATCATGCTCGGCGGAATCGGCCGAGGGGGCGTTCGCATTGGCATTGGCCGAATTAGCTGTTTGTGTCGTCATTTCTTCAGTATAGAGGCCACCCCTAGCATTCAGGGAACGATCTCCAGTTCCGGTTGTCGTCACGCCACCAGAGGAGGACGTTACACCACCCCCGCTGCCAACGAGCCACTGGCTTTCCTCCTCCGATGGGGGCATTACTGCCACAACTCATCTAAAATGTATCATTCAAACAATGCTTAATATTATATAATAAAAAATCTAAAGATACAATATTTTCTATCCCTTTCTCTCAATCATCTTTTTGATTGGATAACGATAAAAACCAATCAACGAGATAATTCTGCCGAAAAAATGAAGAATAGAAATGGCGCCAGATATGAATTCATAATCGTTATAAAAACCTACGATAATCATAACATAATCGATAAACTAAAAAAAAAAAAATCTTTATAGTAATTTGATATTACGTCATTCATACGCTTACCTATATCAATACTATGCTTACGGATCTTTCGACTTAGAAACGTGTTACGTATTTAATATGGCAGTCAACCCTATTGTATGCTTCTCTACATCGATTAGCATTAGCTTACGTATGTAAATTTTCTCCCATCTCTCTCTCTCTCTCTCTCTCTCTCTCTCTCTCTCGTAGTGATATCTTTTGCACGTAAATGTCGCACGTATTTACGTTCTTTGCACACGCGAAAGCGTGACGCGTTTCTCTCGTAATGGCATATGTGTTATACATAACTACGTGCACGAAAGACACGTGTCAACCTTGCGTCAATGCCGAATAGGCAAGCAAGCAAATGAGAGGATAGGGGAGGGAAACGATGTCTGACTTTATAGCCTATACTTATTATTTGTTCAATAATATGGGAATCTCATCATGTAGTAATGTTTTTCTAATGTTTCATTATTCTAGTATTAATCAATGTTCGATCGAATAATAATGAAAGTAATAATTCTATATATAAACAAAAAAATTGAGTAAAAAACCTATAATCATTATTCTCCTCATTATATTACCAGTAACAAATAAAAACTTATTTTTAGCTAGATTTACGGAATGGAACTTAACAAATTTCACGTTCTTACAGTGTAATTTTATCGTCATTTTTAAATCGCTCTAAAAATTTGATACATGTTATACTCCTTTGGGTCAAAAGAATACCTCTTTCTCCCTCCCCCTCCCTTTCTCTCTCTTACCCCCTCTCTTTGTCCTTCCGATCAGTAGGACAATTTATGTGTACTCACACAGAAAAAACCAAATTCATGCCTAACTTAGGCACGCCTGTTATCGATATTTTTATCGGATTTATGTTATGTATATGTACATTTAGATTCTCTCTTCTGAGACGAATAAAGGTTACATGGGCGATATAATTGAATTGACCTATGGCATAAAATGAAGAGAGAAAAGAATTTAACTAAATAGCGCATGCTCCAGATACTAATTATATACATTACTGTGATTTCTAATTGCGAGATAGTCGATAATAACTCATTTTTTTTTTTAATTTAAAAAACAATAATAAGTTAGCAAGATCTTAAAAAGAGAACAACGGTAATTTATAATAGTGAACTAATAAACAATAAGTCAAGAATATAAACAAAATATATTTCATATTTTTTAAAATTATTTATATTATAAAATAAATATGTAAGATTTGTATACTTAATCTATTGTCGTAATTACCGGTACAATGTATTTCTATATGTACTATAGATCAACGACTTTTACTTATGATGAAGAATATCAGCATGCGGTTCTTCTAAGAGGAAGAAGTTATTTTTGAATATTGTAGAAGAATCTTACCCTTCTCTGCTTTTAAGCTAGTAATGATACTACAAACGCACAGCTTTCCCGCTCCTTGGTGAATGACTTTTCAATAACGAAGAAACTCCTCAAGTTCTCATAGAAGGAAGTGCAAAGTTATTTGACATACTGATAATGAATATATAGATAGAAATAGGTTCAAGTAAAGAGAAAATAGGATTCATATATGTATATAGAATGTGTGTTTCCAAATATGGGAATATAACTTCTGGCATAGTTTTAGTAAACTAAAATAAGAACAAAGTTCATGTAACAATATGCTCGTTACATCTTTGTTTGAATTTTGTTTTAGAAATAAAGAAGTAATTGAAATAATATAAAAATAGAGTGTAGATACAGTAGTTGAATTTTAAAATTAATAAAATCAAACTAATGAAAAAGAGAGAGAAAGAACGCGAAGAGATCAAGTAGAGATGACAAAAATAGATGCGACGCATAGAGTACGACGCTATTTAATCCTCTATATACGGAAGTTGAATTCTAGTTCGTTACTCATACATCTAAATTTCCATCTTCGGAAAAGTTTCGAACATAAAGACTATCTTGACAAACTTTGCTTGCTATTAACAATACTTTATACGATCGATAAAGAGCAAAATGTTGATATATCAACACGTATAAATAGGCATGCATACACACAAGTATATCACATACATATACACAAGTTTATCGAATAAAAGATACAAGTAAAAATGTTATAAACGATAAAAAAAAAGATTCATTTATTGTAAAGAGAAAGAGAAATTTTTTAAAGATTTAAACTATGAAAACAAACAAAAAATACTTGGAAAATTATACGCATAAAAGTAACACTATAAAACAATAATATTGGAGATACGACTTTTTGTTTAAATATGTAATTAAAAAAGTAACATAATTTGTCAATTGTAATTCAAATCGCGGTATGGTTGTACTTAAGTACGAAAATCGTTAAAAGTTTTTCTTTTCTACCCTCAAAATATCTTACGAAGGATATATTTTCGAAACATTTATTATTTGTATCATACAAATATATCTGTTCTTTCTTTTCTATGGTTAGTATTATTTATTAAGTCTGTAATTGTTTATCATAAGCATTATTATTTTCAAAGATGTTGAAATTAAAGTCGAAGTTGAAACAGAAAACTAATAAAATAGTCAAATATAACGAGAATAATTAATTCAACGTCAACTTCAACTTTTTATTTAACTTGAACGTCACCTTTCTCTTTTTTTTTCTTTTTTCTTTTAAATGAAATTTCTTCAACATCGCTTTCCTTTGAACTTTTAATTTTTTCTATAGTTTCACTCTCTTCTTCAACTTTAGCTTCAATATACTCAGGACACATGTATATACACACATGTTAACATAGAAAATATCATTCATGACAAATGGAAAAATACATTTAACAATCGATATATTTAAATTTCCTTCATTTCGATATAATTCGATAACAATCGATAATCACGCAGAATTCTATAAAAATTTTCGAAAGTAGAATTATTTTGACGCATATCGATCATTAACGATAATAAGTGGCATCGGAGACGAAGATCTTTCGAGATATCGTTCTACGCGCAAATATTTAAAGAGTCGCTTGCGAGATAAAAATATCGTTGGATAAGGATATCTTTTATCTTGCTCAATGTTAAATAAAAAGTGAACGAAACAAATGAATTTAGGGGAGACGGAGGTTGAGGGGGGAGTAGTAAGGATTATTTTCAAGAAATTATTGGAATAATTTCGATTGATCAATGAAAACAAATGTTTCAATTGTAATAATAAGAATAAAATAAAAGTAAAATAATAAAATGATTTGGAGTAGAGAAAAGAAGCTCGCGTGACATTGTAAAACGCAACGATGTTTTAAGCGTAATCATCCGATAACCTCCTTGTTTTAAAGCAAGCTCCCCCTCATTTGCTGGCAACGCTATCAAATATGCCGGCCTACGTTTCTCGTTAACGATACTCGTACTTACAGATGATGCATTCATCTCTTCTTCCTACGTTAGTTGGATGTGTGTGAGTGTGTGTGTATGTTGAGCACACCACACATACGTATATGTAGATACATACATGTGAATTTCTGTTTATTATAACGATCGTTCTACTTCAAATATTATACGAATCTCTCGCACACGACACGCAGATGCGCAGGCGTGTAACACTAACTCATTTTTCATCCTAAACAAAAACTCACATTTTCACCTGTGCAACTATACGACGCGATAAACTCTGACTCAATTGCCAGTTATCACTCGTGTACGTAATTACATGATAAATATTTCTTTTTATCACGACACTCTTGATCAATTTTCATACCTTTATCTACCACTGTGCTCCAAAGAGACATATTGATTACTTTTATTCATATTTTGTTATTTTTTTTTTCTTATTATTATTAACAATAACATTTACAATCGAATCGAATTTTTCTTCAATGATCTTTAACAAATACATTAAAATAAGATACGAAACTATTTAATTAACGATTCCGAAACATTATTAATTGCAAATAAAACAAAACGATTGCTTTGCTATATTTTTCTTTTTGGTTAGTCTCACTAAAAAGAAAAAAGAAAAATAAAAAGATAAATATTATCTTACTAATATATCATTAATATCTCATACATCATAAGCCTCCATATGATGTTCGTTTATCTTTCTATGTTAACGCACACTTGTGACTCTTGTTTAATAAACTTGACATATCAATGAAAAAAATAAATATTTCTAATTACGAAAATGATTTAAAATTTCCGATTTCGTTTGGAAGGAATATAAAAATGATAATTCATAATAAAATACAATTTGAAAATAAGACAATTTGATGAACCGAGTTATTCTTACCTGGTTAATAAAAAGTCGTCTGCAGAAACCGGCACCGAAACGTCACAATTTTTTCTTCTTTTTTTGTATCTTTCTTTCTTTCTTGTTTTCTCTCGTTTCTTCTAGGAAGCACCACTCTTCTGACAAAGTAGAATTGTGTACGACTCTAGCGTTGATCAATTCCACTGACTGCTTCATATAACAGTCGTCGATCCTTTCTTTACAGCACTCCTTTTTATTGATCGACGATAAAACTTAACCCAAACGAAAATTCGTAACTTAGAATCGTCTAATAGACCGAAAACGATAACTCACCCTTATTTATTATAACTACGATTTCACAAAGGGATTCGTTTTAAATGTGTCCTCATTTACGCGATAATCAAACTTTTCATTATATATTTATTCGAATTTCTTATTTTTTACATATTTTCCTTACGATTAAAGAAAAAAAAGGAAAGAAAATAATAAGAAAAGAAAAAGAAAAAGAAATACGAACTATAGTATTAGATAAACACGAGATACGAGAACATTATCGTAATTTATATTTTTTCTTTTTAAAAAACTACGTTACATAGTTACGCGAAAGAATGTTTTTACGGATAATATTTTGAAGGGCGCTTCTCGTTCGATCATTGTCCTACCTCAAGGCATCCCTATTGTGCAAGGACGAAAGTTTCTTCTACTGACCGAGCTAAGAATTTTCTTGCATTTTTCTTCAACTCCCTTCTTTTCCCTTTTTTAAAAAGTATCCTCTTCTCGTTCGACAATTCTTCTTTTTTTTCTTCTTTGCTTATATCCTTGTTTTTAAAACACTTGTCTTGGCACTGTCCTTCTTCTTCTTACTCTTATACACTGTCTCTTTGAGGAATAATTTTGATTAAAGGGTAGATATAAAACGCCGACGATTTACGAATAATAAGCGGCGTAGAAATATACTCATAAGAGAGAGAGAGAAAAAAAAGAGAAAAAAGAGAGAAAGATAGTTAGCCCTTTTTTCTCTCTCTTTATTAACGACTACGAGAAGAACCTTGAAAGTTTTTTTATGCAGTAATCCGTTGGCGGGAGGATGCAAATACGCTACTACGGCTTATTCTTCGTTTACCCGTGAAAATCTCGCGACTCGCTGACATTTTCACGCTACGAAGGAAACAACACTCCGTGCGTATCGATTTGACGCTACGCCTACGAAACCGACGAGATCACCTTCCTGCCCGTCCAAGGGGGAAGAGAGAGAAAGAGAGAGAGAACCCTGGCGCCCTCCCGTTACCCCCACCAGTACCACTCGTCGCTTCCCCCACTCTACGATTCGTTGTTCAATCCTTATACAACGATTTACAAAAAGATTGAAACTTTACCAAAATAATGTTCATTATTTCGACACCTTTTGTTTCTAATTATTAGCACTATTTTTTTTGTTTTTATTATAAATTCGTACTTCACAAATCCTTACTTTTTTCTCCTTTAAAGGTCATTAAGAAATAATTCTGGACGTTCTCATCGCGTTGCTCGTTTTTAGTCGAGAGCCATGTACCGGTATCTTGAATCTATAGTAGATGGATGAATCATCGTCTTTGGCTCTTCGCTGAAGGTTTAATTTCGACTTACTTGAAAGTCGATATCGCCCTTCTCTCAAAATACGATCCCTGCATTATGATAGAAAATTGTTCTCTCGACTTGACAGAGAAAACAATTTTCATCCAAATCTTTTAATTTTCTAATCTAATCACTAATATTTACGAATAATTTAGTTGTGCATATTTTAATATGCATCGACGATAAATAAAAACTATCCCTCTGTCAAGTAATACATTTTTTACAAAATTTTATTTCGCTAGAAGTTTCTTACCGTGGAATGCTAATCCAGTGATTAAAACTTTTCGTCGAAAAAAAAACATTCTTCTTTTATACATTCTTTAGACTATTAAACTTTGTTTACGAGGATAGATGATAAAAATATGCATAAAAATCCTTATTAAAAGCATACATATATATATATTCCCATTAATCGTCAGACATACTATCTTCTTCCAGCAGTTTTTCCTTTTCTTCTAATTTAGTTCGTGCAATTAACTCTTTAGCTGGATTAAAAACACCATTTGTCTGTACATTGCAAATATAACATCTCGTAGTCTTCTTATAGTGTTCTAAAGCACACTTTTCACAGAAATAATGTTTACATCTGTAAAACAAATAATCATTTAGTTATTTCGTCATTCAATTGAAATATATAATTATAAATTTTAGAGTAAGTACTTTGTAATAACTGGATCGGTAAAACTGTTTCTACAAATAAAACATTTAAATGGAAGAGATTCTTCATCACTATCAATCTCATATTTCTTGTCATCTTCATCTCCGCTGTTGTTGTATTCTCCAGTAGCTGCTTCTCTTTCTAATTGCCATCCCAGTTTATAATCCGAGCGATCATGAAGAAATTTACAACTATCTGTAAATAATGATATAGTTTTATAGATAATTGTAGACCAAACAGATCATTTAAATTAATAGCAATTCTTGCCAACCTCCAAAACCACAAAACCCAGTCTCTTTATAATCCTTGCATATGTCCGGTTGATAATCCCATCTAACTGTTGCTCTGAGATTAGCCGGAGCACGAATTGGTCCTTTGCGAACCATACCGCTGGATGCATTTCCTGCTGCAGTATCTCTTTTTTTATAATACTGTGCATAATTATTAAGACCTCTATAAATTTTATCATCTTCTTTTCCTTCAAGCTCCTAAAAAAGATATTACACCGATCTATTAATAATATGTTAACGATTATAATGGAGTACTATAAAGAATTATTTAAAAATGACCTCATTAATCTTCTGAGCTTTCTCAAACAAAGCTTGGGCATCTTTATCCTTTTCAGTTTCTGTTTCTAGAACAGCAGTTGCCCCCTGATCGCTTGGTCCTGCTGGCATAGGCGTCTTGTTACTTTTATAAGAAACAGTTACACTATCATCCTCGCTACTGTCATCATTGGTAGATTTGTGATGATATCGCTTTGTGTTTGTCTGTAAATTACTACGATTATACTAATTTTCTAATCCTTATTATAATAAGAACTTAATAAAAAATAAAAAAAAATAGAACTTAATAAAAAGTAATAAATAATAAAAGGTATGACATTATTACGTCGCAACATTAGATTGGGATTAATAACTTAAATACATCCTTTTAATATTTACTTACACTTTGTCTCATCGGATTACGTTCGTCGAGCTTCTTCTCTTTTTTAACAACCGTAGTTTCATCTTCGCTACTTTCTATAAGGTAAAATATTGAAATTAAAATAAGGAAACGCACATAACCTATAAGATAGTTAATCGAATTTACGTAATAAAATTAAAAGATTCTTAAAACGATTTAAAAGTGACGTTTAATCTTTTGTATATTTTCTTACCATCTTCTTCATTTCCTTTACGCTTTCTTGACGTTTTACCTCGTACTTTTCTTTTTTTAAATAAAAAAGTACAATTCTTTTTATCTGCCTCTTGCTGCACGTCTTCCATATTTGTTTTGTAAACAACTTACGTCGTGTGTCTTTCTAATCAGACACCACTTACATATATTATTTAGTTGATATTTCATAGAGAACTTAAGGTATTTTTTTCCGATATTCTACAAAATAATTATGATAGCATTACTCTTAATTAAAGGGATTTATTATCATTCATTCATTAATTATCTTTCAATTCATTTATGCGGTACTTTTATTAGGTTATATTATGTTTCTATATACATACATATATTTCATGACAGTTATAAGAGTATATAATTAAATATACCTAAATCTTTATTTAATATTTGCAGATCCTTTTAAAATCATGAGTAACAAGAAAAATATGGCAATTGATTTCCAAGATAATATGATATTGTTAACAAGAAAATATTTGAAACGCAAAATAATGTGTCCTGAAACAAAATTTCGACATCACATGAAAGAACGTTTACATATATTGGATTTATTGAAACGAACTGTAGAAATGGGTGAAAGCAATTCTGCATTACTGATCGGTCCAAGAGGCAGTGGAAAAACTACGGTATGTATTTTAATGTTTCTTCATATATTTGTGCAAGTGATTGCCAATTCTATAGATTTCTTTTATAGATATCTATACATTTTTTAGCTCATCAACAGCGTATTAGTAGAATTGTCCACTTTGAAGTTTTTTAAAGACAATGCACTAATAGTAAATCTGCATGGTTTAGTACATACTGATGATCGTATAGCATTGAAAGATGCTACGCGTCAAATGCAATTAGAAAATGTAGTAAGTGATAAAGTATTTGGCACGTTTGCAGAAAATTTAAGTTTTCTATTAGAATGCTTAAAATCTGGAGACAAGAAACACACTAAGCCAGTTATTTTCATACTAGATGAGTTTGACTTGTTTTGTGAGCATCATAATCAGACTCTGTTGTATAACCTTTTTGATGTTGCTCAGTCTGCTCAGGTGAGTATAAATGAAATAATGTATGCATATATTCTTAGCATAAAAAGCTTTTCTTAAATATTTACCAATAATTATTTTAGGCTCCTATCTGCGTACTGGGCATAACATGTAGATTGGATGTTATAGAACTTTTAGAGAAAAGAGTAAAATCAAGATTTTCGCATAGGCAAATATTTATTTTCCCTAGTGACACTTCCTCTGCTGAACAACCAACGTCTGCTTTTGATGATCGTTTAGAACTTTTTCAACATCTTCTTAGTTTACCTGATGATGAAAATGTAAATAAAATAGAGCAACAATATGATGACTGTACAATAGATCCACACTTTGGTTCGATGTGGAATGAATATATTAAAAGTTTAATTAGTAATGTTACAATGGTAAACTTGTTGAAAAGAATGTATCAGATTGATATTAGCGAGAGAAGTTTCAGAAATTTCTTAGCGGTCGCTGTTTCAACATTGTCCGAAAAGCATCAAACATTAGAAGTAAATGACTTTGTAGAAGCAAGTAAAATATTTTCTCAGGATGATAAAATATTAATGCTTGAAGGTTTATCTGTACTAGAAATGTGTTTAGTAAGTAGCAATGTTACAAGTATTACAGATTAAATAAATTATAATAGATGATTTTAAAATACAATCATTGCAGATCATAGCTATGAAACACGAAACAGAAGTATATGACGGTGAACCATTAACTTTTGAAAGTGTCTACAATCGATATGTTAAATTTACAAATCAGAATTCTTTCATTCATTCTGTTCAAAGACCAGTCATTATGAAAGCCTTTGAACATATTAAGGTAAGCTATTTTATTAAAGACAATTATAATGATTACATCGCAATATAAACTTGCATATATTTTTTAGAATTTAGAATTTATAGTACCTATAAGTAATGCAAATACAAGAATCGATAAAGAATATCAAAGATATAAATTTTCTTTGTCATCTCAACAAGTAATGGATGCTGTGAAAAATTATCCAGGACTTCCTACAGAAGTCTCCCAATGGGCATTAAGCAGTCTATAATGAAAATATGACTTTGTACAAAATATTGCATATGCTAAGACTTTTAGATCTGTAATTTCATTGTATTGTAATGTACTTTATATATTGTTCCCTTTAGTAAATTCGCATCGTGTGAAAATAATTTCTTCAGAAAAGAGATTAAGACAGTATGTATGATATATTTATGTATCATTCGTATTAACAATATTATAACAATGTATATTCTTGTTTTATATTTCATAATGACTTTAAATAATCAATACAATATTTCAACTCGTTTCTTTTATAAAAATCAATTTTTTCATAATACATATCAAGTATTGTCATATCTAACCATTGTAAATATACTTTACGTTTATTTTTTTGTCTAGCAATAAGAATGTTATCAAAGTCTTATGAAATATAGAATCGTCAGTTTCAAGTTAATTCGTGCTACAAAATTCAATATAAAATCGTCCATTATAAACGTTCGTAATAGTTGAATTATATTTAAACTAACGAATTTTGAAAAAGGAAAAATATTTTGATTGAAATACATATGAAATGTGACAAAACTAATCAAGCGAAATCACATATAGACTAAATATTATGTGAACTTTGTTCTTCCTATTTATTATTATTAAATTTATAGTAATTGATAATTATATTATAGGAAAGAGTGTAAACAAATTTGAATATTTATTAAAGAATGTGTGCTGGTTGTATACGTTACCTTGAAGCATGTATGAATACACATTTAAAAAAATGTTTATACATTTTTAATAAATTTATATTCACACAAGAAAGATCTATTTGTAACTATTTTCTAATTGATCCATGCCAAATGTGACGATATATTTCTTATAGGTATCATAGAATTCGTCACTGCATGTATTGGAGAATTCAAAGATTTTTTTTTAATACCTAAACTGTTAATTCTTATCAAATTTCCTTTACGTTGTTTTTTTGTAATGTATGAATTATGACCTATTATAAATATAATAAAACACATAATATATAGTATTTTACGTAATATATATTAAATATGTACATAATCAATTATATTTGTATTTTTTATTTACCTGGGTTTATTCCAACAGGATTCACCTTACTTAAAGTATCAACTAACTTAGAAGAATCAAAAGCAGACATCGCTCTACTCACTCCGATCTAAAAATTTATTTATGTAATATAAAACATTAATAACTTTAAATATTAATTATTAGCTTCGTAAAGATGCACCTGCATGTGTCGTATTCTATGTTCTACTAGATCTGCACCGAGTAATTCTTCATCTTCTTTCATTCTTATTGGTAAGATTTTATCAATTAACTGAAACATATATATATATATATATATATATATATATATATATATATATATAATTTATTTAAATCCAAACTATATATAAAAGAAATAGCTTTATATCTTACCCACAACAATATTATGGAAACAATAAAACTCCAACTGGACAAACATAATACAGATAAACTTTGCACACCTAACAAGTACCAACCTCCACCTGAATGAAAATTTGTCTATTCGCTTATGTTTTTCTTTTTTTTTTTATACATACTTATACATATTTCATAAAAATATCTCTACTGTACAAACCCTTGAATAAACCGCTTCTGCCACTAGTAGTGCCTAAAGGGTATGGATTATCGGCGAACAAGCCAATAGCTATAACACCCCATACACCACTTGCTCCTAATGTAAATGTTTTTAACAATATAAAATAGTATAATTTTCTATGGATGATAGATGGAATTACTGTTATTAACATAAATATACCATGTGTAGCAGATGCTCCAACAGGATCGTCAATGTGTATTCTATCTAACATCGGCATCATAAAACAAGTAATAAATCCACCTATCATACCTATTATTAGTGCTTCCCAAGCGCAATATAAAAAACATCCACCTATTAACGAGATACAAAAGTTAAAATTTTCTTGTTCCAAGTTTAATACTTTTATATTGGATACATTGTCATCTTCAACCTGTAACAGCAACCAATGCTCCGAGAATTCCGTTTATTTGACTCAAAATATCAATCCCATTTGGATTAGTCAAACTAAATCCAAGGCCAACTAAACCACCACCCATACTAGCCATCATTGTAGAAACAGCTGCTCTTGCAGCATATTGCCAGCGTTGACCACTTACACCATATGTACTGCCGCTGTTAAATGCTAACCATCCCCACCTATTATAATAAATGTCATTTATATCGTTTTATATAAAGTTAGTCGAAATTTACAGAGATAGATTAATGCTTGATATTACCATAATACAAAGAGCCCCATTATAGCGTTTACAGGACAGCCCAAAGGTAAAGGTTCTATTCCGAAATCATATCTACCTAATCTTGGTCCAAGCATGATAGCACATGCAAGAGCTGTATTTATATAATGTTTTAGCATTTATTAATAATCTCTTAAGTTTGCTCAATTATATAATACACTTTACCTGAAACTCCACCCACAAGATGTACTGGCCCTGATCCAGCTATATCAACCACACCCAAGGATTTTAAAAATCCGTGATCACCCCATACCCATCCTGCTGGTATACAATATACAATTGTATTTAAAAATGAGAAAAGGCAATAAGCTTTAAAATTACATCTGAAAATAAGTATTACATAATTATATTGGTATTTTTATTTCTATTAAATACCGAAAATACCTTTCAGCCATTGCCCCACTAACAATAGTTGTAGATGTGGTAGCAAAGCTTAATTGAAATAAGAACGCAGCACATATGGGACCCATAAGTTCGCTACCTACGGGTGGATCAATTAAAAAACCTCCGCTTCCAGCAAAAGGATTAGTCGGTTTATTCAAGCCAAAGCTTATACTAAATCCAAATAGCCAATAAGTTAGTCCACCAAGAACTATGTCTACCACATTTTTCATCATTATATTAACTTCATTTTTTAAAGAAACGCATCCTGATTCTAACATACCAAAACCTAAATGAATTTTGTTTTTTGTAAATTACAGATATTTTTATTTTATATTAGCTGTGTACTATAACTTCAAAATATAATAATGATTTACCTGTTTGCATAGTGAAAATAATAAAAGAACTGGTAACTATCCAATTACTATCTTCTTGAGTAAGATTGTATATCGAACTTACATATTCATAAATGGTACTGTTAGTAATATTGCGTTCATAACTATTTATCTCCATATTCTGCAAAGGATTCTTTCAATGCTGAAGGAGAGACTTCTTTTCACTTCCGAAGAAATAGCTAAGTGGAACGCTTTCAGGAAAAACAAGTTAACAATTCAAAAGGTTTGGACAAACAGGTTAAATATTAATAGGACGTCTCTAAGTATGATTGCATGTTTAAGCTAGGATGGGAGCAGGAAATGAGATAAATGCATTAAACGAGTAAGGTCATGAAACTTATTGAGTTTTCAAATTAATCCTTTTTAATCTTTTTTTATTGGCCCACATCCAGCCGTTACATTAAATTTTCGACCTTACCATACAAGTAGCAATTTCTTTTTCTTCTTTATTAACTGAAATAACAACAAATTACGTCAATATAATAATACTAGCCTAAATACAAGAAAATTATATCATATAGACTGTGTAAATATACGACTTTTTTCTTTCATTTAAGAATATTTTTAAAATACATTATAAGACAATGTTTATGTAGTTAAATTCCATTTATACATGATTATTAATTTGCACTAAAAACATCAATAATTATTAAAAAAAAATTAATATCACACAATACAAAGAATATTTTATTTCTATAAATATGATTATTTAGTAATTTCTTTAATATCATTCGACAAAATAAATGAGCAATCAAGTGTGATCAGCGCTGATATTATTGTGGTGTGATTATTGAATATTCTTGTAATTAATGTCGACGATAAATATACAAATTGAAAAAAAGCATAATTAAAGTAAGGCGTTTGTGTCTTCATTTGAGAATCGCATAAAATTTTAGAGGAAGCAAGATTAAAGAGTGCAGCGCTAACATCTTTTTAAACATCATCAGATTAATTACTGAGGGCTTTTAATTTGATTACACTTTCAAAAGCGTCTATAAAGACTACATCGTAGATGATAAATTCTTTGCTGTTTCATTTTTTTTTAATTTTTTCTTAGTTCTCAGCATTAACCAAGATTCCAATTATTTTTAATGCCCATAGACATTTTCATCGCTGTAAGCTATGTACAGGAAGAAGTCCTCTTCGTGATGTTCCTAATAAAGAATGAAAAAACTTGTATTTTTTTAACTTATTTACCATATGTGTAATTATTTGAATAAGAAATAAATTAAATTCATAAGCAAAACGCTGCTTTAATATTACCCAAATTTGAAATGATTATTCTATTACCGCATAAAGAGATCCCATGGTAGCGCTTGTGGGAGGAATGATATTGTTAACAAAGAAGAACAAGGCATCTTCTGGACGAAGATGAATCCTCTTGCGTATTAAAAAGTAAAATTGTCCAACGGTCAGATCTGATGGTACAAGATATTTTTGTTTGTCCAGATCACTAATTTTGGCTTTGGGTGCTTTTTCAACGATCACCTGTCATTATATTTACTGTGTTAATAATTAGTCAACAAAAATCAAGGTTGTATCATTATCTTATTATTTCTAATTCATTTCTATCATTGGCAAGTTGCCTGAATTCGAAATGATTCAACAATTGCATTTCTAAGCATGTCAAGAATATAATTAACAAATCTTTTGTTAAATATTTTTTCAAATATTTCGAATGGAAAAAATGAAAAAAGAAAAAGACAATAATAACATCGTTAGAACTAACTAAATCAAGAAGAAAAACAAATATTTTAATCTTAGCTTGTCGCAAATAAACAATAAGTTCGAAATGTAACCGTAGGATCGATAAACTTGAATAATCGTAGGTCGTCTGGATGGTAAACGATCCTTCATTTTATCGTCCTGAATCGATTCATGAGGAAATGAAAAAAGAAGAAAGAAAGCAATTCTTTATTGATATGAAAAAATAAATATTTTTATACGGCACAATAGAATGACCTTGACGAAAGAAAAGAAATCGTAGAAAGACACTAAATATCGGACGCAATATTCATGTGTTTAATTTTGAAATGGAAGAATAGCGAGAGACAAACGACAGAAGAGAAAAAAGAAAGAAAGAGAGACAAACAGTAAAAAAGAAATAAAGAACAATATAACGGAAGAAAAGAAAAGAAACAAAAAAATATATCGCTTAGACTCGTTTATCTTATCAAAAATGTTTGACGAGTTCTTTCTTTTCTCTGTCTCTCCTGTGTCAGTTGTCTGTTTGTTTGTCTCTGTTCGTCTTTCTCTCTCTTTCTATAGATTAGTAATTAAACGTAATATTTAGCATCTTCTTAATACCTAAATAAATGTACTTACAGGAACCCTGTCCGGATACTTTCGTCTTATTTTTTCACCTTCTGCCTTTCTCTTCTCGAAAGGGTGACCCTCCTTGTATTCAAACTTCATTGTTCTTCTACTCGTGCAGACGGCACGAGACGTAAAACCTCTGACACAGCGACTTTCTTTTACTTCCTTTTTCTTCTTTCGTCACAGATGCGCGTATGTGTGTACTCTTCTTTTCCTCTAATACTTTTTGCACGTCGATGGATGAAATATCTGTTTTACTAAATTTTGAACAGATTTAGAATAAGAAATGGCTTGGAAAAGACAAAAAAAGTAGAGAAAAGAACAAAAAGAAATATGACAGCAGCACGACGACACAGGACAACTTTCTATTACGCTTTTGTCACAACAATTCCCGTACGTCACTTGGACTGCGCCCTAATGTCCGACTTTTGATTACTTTAATAATACTAGACGATTTAATAGGAAAATTCTACGATCTCACGATGAATCACCGTACGACCGCTTTTCCGAACGATTTGTATCTAATTGGCAGAGTCACGTTTTACGTATTACTGAATACGAATCAAGGATATAAAGATTGCCCGTAAATGAACAAGCGGATTAAACTAGTCTCAAACACTCATACCAACTTCACTTCTAACGAAACTATTTTTTTTTTGGGCTTTTTGTTTTGTTTTTAGGTATATATGATTTTTTTTTATGTAGACATATAATTTAGCAAGATTATTGTTATATACAGATTATCTTTTATCCACCCTAACTTTTTAAGTGTGCACAAAGTAACTACCTTTTATTAAGTTCTTCTTCATGATATAGGTTATGTACTCCAAATTCAATTTTTTGTTTTATAAGCTTTTGTAATAAAATAATCAAATTAAATATAAATATATTGTTAAATAATTCAAAATGACTCTCTCTACTGTTATATATATTATATCATATATACTTATTATATATAAATATTCTGATGATTACATACAAAATTATTTATTATTACAAATATCTAATTGCATTATAAAAAACAATTGAAAATTCGCCTTTACTATTAATACTTTAATGGCTGCACGTCTGTCTACGCAGTTAAATGTTGCTAGGGGCTGGCAATATTTTTGAAGAATCAATTTAAACAGTGGTAACATTACACAAATGTATGAGCGGATGATAATGGTTGGCCAAGTCATCACACACATATTGTGTGAGTGGCCACTAAAGTGTTAATTATAAGTTTTATTTCATCTTCCCAACGAATTAAAACTTTAATATGCTTTTTGGAAAATTTATAGCAATTTTTCAGTTCAGAAACTCGAGAAATGTTTCAATTGAAATTACTAACATTCATCAAATTATCATCATACCACTGATGCTTCTCTTTGGAGTCAACAATATACAGCGTTTCGAAGTAGTCATCCATCTAAGTACTAATAATAATCATCAACACTTAGTTATTGTAGCATTGTATTATTGTAGCAACTGTAGTTATTGAACAAGAACTAGTTTTTTCAATCAGACAAAGTCTTGACTATTATCTTCAATATTAAAAAATTGTAAAATAAATGGAACGACTTCTATTTCATTTTGCTTATTCTAGTATGTTTTATAGTCTTCCTGAATCTCAATTAATTAAAATTTATATACGTTTTATATTGTTTAACAAAATTTGATTTTATTTTAATTAATATACACAGATTGATCTGCAATAAATGATAATAACTTTAGCTTTACTCTGCATCTTCTTCATCGTCGTCTTCTTGACTATTAATTTGGAAGTATCTTAATTCATACGTCTCCTTATCTTGAGACACTACACGTAACCAGTCACGTAGTTTGTTCTTCTTCAAATATTTCTTCGTTAAATATTTAAGATACCTGTATTAATAAATGTGTTAATGTAAACTAATGTATATATATATATATATATATATATATATATTTGTAATATTCTTTACGAATGCCTACTTTATTTGAAATGGAGATGCTCAATCCCACATAAATAAATATTAAATATACATACTATAGAAGATATCTTTTATATAAAATACATACCGTTTAGAAAAATCAATGTCGCTGTTAACGGAAAGCTTCATTTTGTTACGCTCAATGGAAACATTATTTCCAAAGTTACCTGTCTTTCCGTTAACTTTTATTTTTTCTTGGAGGTATTTTTCCTAAAAATTTAAAATTTGCGATGGATTAATAATTTCTTTACCAAACATATAAATGAAAACTAAGCAAAACTGAACAACAAATATTATAGATAAAATATATGATTAATAATATGTAAATAGAACAAATAATATCAATAGCAGGCCAACAGCAATATATGAGAATTAAAACATATTTGCAAAATTATGATTCTATAAAGTTATGAAAGGTTACAATTGTAGTTGAAATTGAGGTTAGATACAATGTTTGTTTACTAAATAATAAACTTATAAAAATATAAACATAACAATAAATATTATTAAACTTACAAAATTAGCTACATCCATAATATTATCCTCCACAGGATGCGTGCAGTCAATCGTAAATTTGACTGACACTTTTTTTTTCTGGCCCTTACCCCGAAGGGTTTGTTTCTTGCTGCTTGAGCCTTTGGCTTTTTTGGCAACCGTCTGAAATGAAAAAATTTCAATATAAAAGAAAATTCAAATAAAAAAGAATAATAAAAAGATATATTAATTCTGAAGTAACACGTGATGAAGCCATCAAAACGTTTTCACAGCCAGAAATATATCGATTTTGTTTTGAGCCATCTTTTCATATAATCAACATTAATTAATGCACGACCTTTAAGTGTAACTAAATCTTTTGCATTGTAATTATAGTTTTATCATTAAATAGCATATTTAATCCTTAAATTTATTATATTGCTTAAGACGAAACTTACCAAAGCCATATTTGCAAGCTAAGAGAAATCAAAAAGAATCTTTCGCTCCGTCGCGACACTATCGTTTCTAATAAGTATTACCAACTTTTTCTTCTGCTATAGTGGTCATAGTATAAGCGCTATATAGTATGTGAATAACGTTAGATAGCGCAACGATCAATCACAATTGATTACTAACACCTCATTGGTTGACAGTTATACCAATAGGAAAAGATTCATTGGACAAGCGAACGATGTCCGAAGGGGTACAGATAATTCCAAAGGATTTCCGTTCATTCCTGAATTCGTACGCCAAAGAGAAAGCATGCGTTTTATAATTAGTCTAGTCTAGAGACCCTATAGGAGAGATGCGCCATGTAGATTGCTGGGGGACAGGAACTCGTGTAGTCACGTGATTGTGCGCGAAATATTCAAAAATTGAAATAATTATGAAATAATGAATTGCATCAAATGCAGAAAAAAAAATGAACTATATCTAATGATAATTAAAAATTTATATTAAAATAGAATAGGTTACACAAAAAAATTATTATAAATTCAATAGGAAAGATTCAATTAAGTTTGATTTGATAAAAGGCATTACAGTATTTTGAAATTTCAAAACAATTTGTAGGAATTTATACAATTTTTGATAAATATAATTATCTACTATATATATTATATTAATAATAATAATAATAATAATAATAATAATAATAATAATAATAATAAAAGAAATATATAAAACAATTAAAAAATAGATTTATTTTAACATATTTTTATTTCTCAATGTGGTACATGGTCATAGTTTTACTCGAACTAAGATTTGTTTGCTTAAAATTTTGTAAGTTTTTGCGATTATACCTACGCGATGGTATAAGGTATTCACGGTCTTGTGTAGTTCTTGTTGAACTTTTGCAGTAATTAAGAATACACTGTCGAACCATGATTATTTATCTCAAACAATAAGTCTGTAAGCAAACGATAAGTTATAGGTTAGGTTTGTACATTTATACTTGTAATTATTAAATGAGTAAATTAAACTTACACTTATAGAAAACTACTTAAAAAAAACAAAATAATTAAATATAAATATCACAATAAAAACTATAAGTATTCCAAACTTAATCTAACCACAGCCGTTAATACATACTAAAGATAAACATGGCTGCGCGATGCAACGGAAGCTGTCCCCCCACATTTTCAGCCTTGTAATCCACATGGCGCGTCCCTTCTACAGGGTCTCTAGTCTAGTCTATACCGCATAGTATTAAGAAGACTCTTGGTTAGTAAACCATCCCCGTTTTCCAATTACAGAGCATAATGCGACTCAGTGTCGCACAATGCCGCATTGTGCTAATGCTTAATTGGAACATGAATTAGTTTTCAAGTGCACCAGCAGAGTGCGCTAAGTTCAGTGTTGAAACAAAAAATATTCATAGACTTAGCAACCTCATTAATGTATAAATAAAGTGGTAAACAATAATAATTGGTCGAAAACTATTTACGATTATTTTAAGTAATTTGGATTTTGATTATTTCATTAACATTTTTTAAATAAATTTATTTGTAATTTATTTTATTTTTTTTCATAAATTTATTTATAGTTTTGTATTTTAAAATGAAATTGTATTCACATTTTATGTGTAGAATATAAAAAAAAAATAGTCAATGTTTATACCTTCATCCATACTTATATTTATTTTTTAACAGTCTGAATTAACTTTTTATTATTTCCAAAAAACTACGACGAGAAGAAAGCTTTAAGAATTTTTTCAATAATAAACAATATTACTAATAATAATATACATACAATTTCGATCAATGCCAACTTAAAGAAAAAACACTTGGTTATTTTCTGCTACTGAGTTGGTATCGATTGCAAGCATCACGCGAAAGCAACACTTCTTACAGTGCTCGATTTTGCGATGCGATGCTCTAATTGAAACATTCAACGTTGTGTATTATGCCGCATAATGCGCTTTAGTGCTGTAATTGGAAAACGGGGTAACTTTCGTGCGTTCTTTCGGCCGCCTCTACATCATGATCTGGTTACAAAGCCGAGGCAGAAAGTGTCGCTGCTGGACACGCGCACCTCTAGTAGTCTTTGGGTACGTCTGCCGAACTTGGCGCTGGCAGCCGCGAGATGTCGGCACCGTCCAGTGCAAGTGCAATCAAGTGACAACACGAGTTCTTGACAGTGCAGCCAGATCGTGGGTAAATCTTACCCTCTCCCTGTGCCACTGGGATTGCACACAATGAAAGTTTTCCATGTCCGTGTGTTTGGGATTTCGAGGAAAGCCGAGTGTAACCGAAGTTGGCGGGCACGCCGGAGTG